AGGGGAAGGGAAGGGAAGGGAAGCTGGCTGTACACAAAGTACTCTTACATTTGCAAAGCAAATACACACAGTGACCTTAGGTGCTATCTCTAAGCAGCACAGCACTCTCAGACCCAAGTGCTGCACTGGGAATTTCTTCATGGAGTTCAGGAGGTACAGAGCAGAAACAACAAGTTCAGAACAGAGTTAATCTAAGAAAAAACAAAGTGTTGTCCTCAGGGAGAAGCATCTCAGTCTTACAAGAAGTGTGGGAGGGGTAGGGGGAGAAGAAAAATCTATCAAAACATCTCAAATTCTTAAACCTGCTGTAATGCAATCAGTGTGTTCAAAGTCCCTTGCAGAGAAACACCAGGCTATCTTGATTTAAGTTATGTCCCTCTGTTTCATTTGACTCACCTAAATAAATTTGAAATCACTGTATTGGTAAAAAGGAAAACAAGTCTTATTTCACTCTCACATTTTAAATCCCAGTTAGGTAGGTGCACAGGCTAATTCCATCATGGCTGGATAGATATATTCCACAGTCCTCAAAGAGATCAAAACTCTCTTTTATTAAGATTTTGTTCACTTCCACTGTTCACTCAGATGTCATAGCAATGGATTAAGGTCAGCTTCAAAGAACCTTTCTTTCCCTGAGCAAAACAGCCACTCCACCAAGTTTGGTCTGCAAGTTGCATAAATTGGCAGAGCTACACAGAACAAAATTGATTTATATTTTACACCAGCTAGAGATGTGGTGCAGCAAGTTTGGTAATCCCAGGGGTAGCATCCTGTTTGCATGTGAGAGGCCAAAACTGTAACTATTGATACATTTTTTTCAGGGAGACTGAAGGATTAATGTTGGCACAATGAAGCTTTTCTGGTTTTGCATGTCTTGTATGTCTGCCTCAAAACAAAGTCACCAAGAGGCATAGAACCCTTCCTTCAGGTTTACTGTGAATTTACTAGACACCTCCCCAGTTCCCCTATCAGCTTGAAGCTACCTTGCCCTCGAGAGCAGAGGGTGCTCAGTGCCTGCCCAGAGATGGCTGTGCCTTTCAGGGACACCCTTGGTTCATTGCAGTACCTTGGAGCTAGTTACTTCCTTGTTCAAAATGCCCTTCATTTGCAGCAGAAATGGCAGCATGAATGACTTAGTTTTGGATGAGATTTTATGAATAACACCCACTCAGTGCATTCTAAACAGAGGGTTTAGATAAAAAGGGTGGGGAAAGCACATCCAAGAGAAATTATCTGGATGCTGAGAAAGAAGTACCTTATTAGTTATGGTTGATGTTGTTGTTTTGCTCCCTGTTTTCAGGTAAAAGCACTTTTCACCTATCTGCTTCCTTTAATTCTCAGCACATTTTTTTTCACAAGGGTTCCTTCCCCCTTCCTCCCTTTTAGCATTTTCTTGTCCCCACATATAAAAGAGCTGTCCCCTCCTAAAGGAAACAGAAGAACAAATGATGCAGCAGCTTCCTGCAAGTGTCAGGGAAGAAATGAATAATTGCAAAGTATTCCTGGGAGATAGAGTAATATTAGGTTCTGAAAGCTTTCACCATTTCATACAGGGAAAACACTGTAGGAGCCAGGGCAGAAGACATCTTTAGTTTGCAAGCAGCAGGGATGAGGCAATATTCAAAGCAGTCCCAAGGAGTTAGCACTTACCCCAGTGGAAATGGGAGAGGCAACTGAATAGCATGGTCAGGTTGAGAAGCAAGGGGGATATTGGTGCAAGAGAGACAGAAACACAGGGTCACTGACCAGAACCAGTATTCAAAACAACGTAACTACATTTTCATGCCATCTTTCATGAAGAAAACACAGTACTATTTAAAAAGGAATATTCCTACAATTTTCTGATAGAAACTTTTCTTAATAAAATGCCCTGCCTTTAAGAAGCTCTTTCCTTTGTATTCAACACAGCACTGGAATCCTTGCTGCCTGTATAGCCATTGGCATTTCAGCTGATGGCAAGTGTGCCACTGACTGAGAAGGGAGAAGAGATGGACATAAAGACTGCAATCAGCCATGCTCTCTTGGGTTCAGAAGTGCCTGCTTTCAAGGTGGAGTGCATAACACATAGTTTGACTGGTAATGTTAAGTGTCTGTCATTAAGGGTAACATGCCAAGTCTATAATTAAATCATGATACTGTATAATACACAAGGTTACACTGCATGAGTAGAGACAGCTGTCAAGTCCTGTGCCTTTTATTAATACATATGGCATGCACAGCATTTGTGTCTCTAACTACTTGCTAGCTCTACCTTCATAAATCATATTTGCCACTGTCTCTGATACCAGATAGCTTTAAAAAGTAAACTGCATCCACTTCGTTGAAAATATTTTGCAAGTGGAACTGCAGTAAGAGAGTTCTACGTGTACTGATCTACCTGACTTGAAAAGAATAATGTTTCATTATTTCCAAAAGGCAGCATGGCCTGGTGGAAACATAAAACACTCATCCTAATCCAAGCTCTGTCACTGAGGCCCTAACTGGCCTTTGGGCCAGTAATTTAGGTCTCAATCTCTCTGCACAAGAAAGAGATGTGACCTGGCAGATCTGAAAAGATGACTAATTAATGAGAAAATGTTCCTCAGTACCCTAGGGATGTAAAGTGACAAGCAAACATTCCTTCACATCAAGAAGCTTTATTTAATTGATATTAAAGAGAAGCTGGGAAGAGCAGATACTGGAAATGTGGCACGTTGGTACCTAGCCATAAACGGTACTTGGCAGTCTCATGAAATACACTCACCGGTAGAGGCACTGCCTGCAAACTTCTCCACTTTATAACTCCTGCCAGAAGTGGGTACAGAGGTAGGGAGGGAGGTTGCTGCTCTCTGCTTAGATAGTGTCCTGGATCCCCTGCAGGGAGTAGGAGGTGGCACCCAAGACAGCATCTCTACAGGCTTTTTAACAGTTTAACCTAGGATGCCATGTTCCCCCTGTTCCTCATTATGATGGACATCCTTATTAAACTAAAAACTCAGCTTATGTTTTATTGTTGCTGTTCTTCGAAATTTAATGTGAGGCTGTACATTCAGAGTCATTACTGAAGACACCTTTCCTTGCTTCACACACTGTCATGGCTGAAGCAGGTAGTCTCCAAGATTTCATACCCTCCACTTTGTTGGGACACCTGAGCAAAGCCCTGCTCACAGGGCTTCTGCAGATATCCAGATTTTCAAGACTTACCGCAGAGTAAGCTTCTCATGAAATGAACAGGATGCTTGACACTGAGTTCAGTGGTAGCTGAGTCAGCTTCTCAGAAGCTGAAACCTGGAGAGTCCTGAGCACCTCCTGGCTCTTCTCCACCAGAGCACTTCTGTGTGTTTAACTTCTGAGCATGTGAATAGTCCCTTTCAAGTTGGTGCCCCCACAGCATGTCCTGATTAAGCAAGGTCAAGATCCCTGGTCTTCTGCCTCACACCACTGGCCCTGTGCACCTCTCCTCCATCACCTCTGCTGAGATGAATGCTACAAGCGCTTAAGCCTTTCTAACTACTAAATGCATTTTGTATTACTCAAGGATGGCTGAGTAAAGTCGATTATTTTTGATGCAAAACAGATCTGCATACGCACACTGGTTATGCCTTCCTAGAGGCAAAAGCTGAACTAAGCCCAGTTAGACCTACCTTTAACAGAGGCTGAGTAGGTGGAAATGATGCAAAGGAACAGCACGGTAAGAAGAATCATGTTGGACTCTGCTGAGCTCCTGACTGCAGCATGAAGTGTGAGAGCCTCCAAGAAGTGAGCTGCTGAGAGTGGAGAGGAGCTTGCAGAGAGAGCTGCCGGCTTGGCCACAGTGTTTATCTAGATGTAGTAAAGGTCAGATTCCAAATTCCACACTCAGGTACTAAGTTCATGAAAGGACTTCCAGTTAATTATTAAGAACTAAGGCAACTGGTGGTTTCTACCCCATTTTATCGATCACCTTGGCTTTCAGTTTTGAATACTGAGCCCACACAGTCACATTTCTGAGCAGGAGAGCCCAACTCCAGTCTTGGCAGAACCAGGAGATCCTGCCAGAACTAGGAGATCCTGCCACCACTCCTTTCTCTGAATGATAGGGCAGTTAGACCTGTTGCTGCCAGGGGCCAGATCCTGACCACTGTCTCCACTGTCTTGCATCAGCTCTGTGAGCAACTTTTAAGGGTCTTCCTGGAAGCAGTCCCCACTTCACAACTTACAGGTTAGAGACTGAGAGATGAGATAAAACCAGCCATTTTGTACCACCTTGATGAAGAGTACCACTTGGCAGGGTCTGGGAGCAGGACAAATCAAGCCATGTTTTATATCCCTAGTTTCCCCTTTTCTCATGCTCACTTCACCACCTTCCCTGATAAGCCCCTGCCTGACTAAGCCACATGCTTCCCTGTTTCCTCTGAGACTAAATCCCAGGCCATCTCACACTAAGCCTCCTGGCCACGGGGCTTGCTAAAGGATCTCTTTTAGATGTCCCTCAGGTGTCAGTGGGGCAGTAGGTCAAACCCCCATGTTTCCTGGCACACCCTGGGTGTCACAGCCTGTGAGGGAGCACCCCTCTCCCCCAGCAGACAAAGCCTCCCCAGCTCTTCATGGCAGGAGGATCTGCTCCTGCTCATAGAAGAAGCACACACGTGAGCCATGACCAGGCTCTTTTGCTCCACTTCCTCAGATCGTTTTAACATAACTGTGCCCTACAAACACCTCAACTGAACAAGTACCACCCTAGGCTGCATTTAGCTGCTACCAATGGGCCACTTCTGCCACCAGATCGTCTGTATTAGTAAGGGATCATAAGGTGAGAATGGCCTTGACCTTGGGTGTATAAATGCCTCCTTTGTTGTCTTGTGGTAAAAGAGAAGTCAAACGCTGTGCAGGGCAATCACTGCCCAGCAGCAGGAAACAACAGGTCCATGCCAATGCTTTTCCTTGTGCTCACCTCTCTGCACCTTGTGGAAGTTCTCCAGAAACTCTGTGTTTTGTGTGTGTGCCTGTGTGTCTGTGTCTGTGTGTGCGCGCAAGTGGGAGGGAGGAGCTTAGGAAACCCTAGGGTCTGCTACTGCTTGTTCCCCATTTGTGGTTATTTATGCTGCTATCCCAGGGCAACTTGTGATGCATTCCTGAATTCAAGAGACTGAGGCAGAGGACTCCAGCTGATCCTTTTGCTGCATCTTGTAAACAAGGAGCTTGTCAGACTTTCTGTGTTTTGAAAAAAATAAGGACAATATCCTGGTGCATAATCAGCTCTGGCTAGAGAGAGACTAGAGGTATGGATCCTGCTCTGGAAATGCAGCACTGACATTTCACTCTGAAGGAGGAGTTGATGTTGGTCTGAAATCTGGAGAAGAGCAATTGTCCTCTTCTTATGCTCTTAGGACACAGGAAATTTATTTTTTCCTTGAAATAAAGTAATTTTTAAAAAGGGCCTGTCTCAGACACTAGAGTATCAGAGATCAGATCCCCCGCTGATGTAAATCAGTGTACCTCTTTGGACATCACTGTAGCAGTGTCTATTACAGAACTAAGGATGTAACCATCATGTAGAGAAATTTTGTAGATGCATTTCCACGTGCATATACATTTATACACCCATATGCATGCCCATAAGGCATACTTGGTAGGTTCTTCAAATGTCTTAGAAACAGGAGGCCTGAGCCTCACCTCAATTATGGCCAGAGTGAATCAGCAATGACTTTCTTGAAGTCAGATTACACCAATGAAACAAGTGTTGCGCCCACCAAAGTTCACTACACGCAGAGGTTGCAGGATCAGCCCCTAATGTATGTTTCACGCCGCGCTGGCATAGGGACTGGGGTCAAAGTATTTCTGTTGCAGCACATTTTCCAGAGTCCAAACTGTAAGGCTCATATCTTTACACAACCTAATAAAACTAATGAGATTTCCTCCCATGTTCTGAGGTCAACAAATTGTTTCTGTCTTCTCTTCACACGTGACAGTGTGAAGATCTTGGTTTTCAACTCAAAATTTCAGGTGTGTGCACCAAAGTACCCAAGTGCATCTTTGCCCATCAGCTGCTGTTCGGGTGAATAAGCCCCCCATCCTGTTTCTGCCATGGTTGGGCAGGAGGACAGAGATGCCCCGCCAAGCCACTGGCCAAAAGTGGGTTGTGCCTGTCACTGGCTTCCTAAACCCCACCTCAAGAGTGCTGCAGTCAGACCTGGCCCACAGAGAATAATGTCAGTGTCCACACCTGAGCCACCCCTAAGCACCTTTCTTCTCTTCATGCTCTGCCTCTTGACTTGCAGCTTTAAGCTGTGGGGTGTTTAGTTCCTTCTGTTGCTAGTGGGAGGTGACTCACCATTTGGATGAGCATCTCGAGAACGTCATGTTATGACTCTATCAAAATTATGAAATTCAGACAGACAGCTCTTTGTCAATATTTGCAGCTGCTCAGGTTTTCATTTTGCTTTGTCACCACTTGGCAGACTTCAGAAAACATTGCATTGCCCAGCATCAGTGCCTGAGGACACTGGGGTCTGGCTCAGCAATACTGACACTTTGCAAAGTGCAGCAGGAGAAAACCAAAACGCATAAGCTGTTTCTTCATTCTAAGAAAAAAGAAGTGCAGCAGGAAAAAACCAAAACGCCTAAGCTGTTTCTTCATTCTAAGAAAAAGCACATCCAAACAGTATGTGACTTTGTTAGACCTTTTCCTTCTTTCCACAAAAGGAAGCAAGCAAATTGGCTCTTGTTAGTAAAGCATCTGCAGATTTTCAGTGACCAAATGCAGGATTTTCCATAGGGACACTGGAGCATGTGAACTTGGGTGATCTTGGCGTATCAAGCTAGATATTCATAGTAACACGACCGAGGTTTTAAATAGACCATAGCAAATGCAAATCCAGCTATTTTTAACAGAATATAACCCCACCTCGGGCAGATCCAGCCCACTACCAAGCGAGGGCTGAGGTGAGCGGTGCCCGCGACCGCGG